ACTCTATGAAATAATTGTCAATTCAAGAACTTATTGCAATTAATATGACCAGATGACTCTAAAAATTAAATTTATTAAAAAAATAAATATTATTTTATAAATTAAATTTTAAATTTTAATTTTAATTTTAACACCTAAAAAATTTAATTTACTTGAGTATATCAAATTGTAAATGTGAAACGAATCCCACGTAAAGAAAATTTTCCACGCAGAATGATTCAACCAAACAATTCCTCAAAATATAAAACAATTTTTCCCCCTTTGTCAATCCTGGCAGCCTAACAGAGGTTTGGATGCACCAGGTCTCTCTCATCAATTGTTGATATATAATAATAATTATTATTCTTTTAAACAGGACTACAAATACGGGGTGGGGAAACAAACCCCAGCTTTCGGGCTGGGGATGCACCTTCAAGTCGGCTTATAACGGTTGTACTGTGAGGTCCGGGTGCTGATATATAATTAATTAATCAGAAAATAAAAATAGTAAAATATTAATTAATTAATCAATCTACATATTTTCTTTCAAAAGTCTGGTCTCATAGGTGGAATGGTGGTTGCATCAATATATCTTCAGCATATGTACCAAAAATATATATATATATATATATATATATCTTCAGCATATACCATATTCTTCTCCTTTTTGCTATAGACTTCCAAGCAATTCTCTTCGCCAAACTATTGAAACAAAGATGGATGACCTTATCCTTAGTCCTGTCGTAGAAGCCACTGTGTCCAAGGTAATTTCTGTTGCTTCTGGTCAGCTCAATTTAGCACTGGGATGGAAGGAGGACCTGCAAAAGTTTTGTAGTATGATGGAGACGCTCCGAAGTGTGTTGCAAGATGCAAACGAAAAGAATGTCAGTGGCCACTCTGATCTGAAACGCTGGCTCCAGCAGCTTCGAACAGTTGCAGATGAGGCTGATGATATACTGGAGGAGGTCGCTTATGAAAATATGCGGCGTCAGATGGTAGTTCAGAAATCAAAGTGGAGAAAGGTCAGGTACTTCTTCACTAAATCTAACCCCCGGACCTTGGTATTTCCCCTGAAAATGGCTAATAAAGTTAAGAATTTGAATAAAAGACTTGCTGATATCAATCACTCGGCTTATCAGTTGGGGCTGCAATTCAAACTTGCAATCACTGGTGCTGAATCCGTGGAGAGACCAGCCCCAGAGACTCACTCTTTTCTTCCATCAAGAGTTTTTGGAAGAGAGGAAGATGTCTCTAAAATAGTTAGCTTGTTGGTTGATTCAAGTAATCAGCAAGATCTCCCTGTTATAACTATTGTGGGAATGCCAGGCCTTGGCAAAACTACTTTGGCGAGGGCAGTGCTTGAAAATGATAAAATAGGTGAACTTTTTGGCGAAAATAAAATGTGGGTTTGTGTGTCTGAAAACTTTAACGCCAAAAGGATTTTAGTGGAGATGTTGAAGTCTATTAGCGGAAGTAGTAGTGGTGATGGGGATATTGGAAGCAATGATAATGTGATGAAGGATATTCAAACTAAGTTGGAGGAGAAAAATTATCTTCTCATACTAGATGATGTCTGGAACGAGGAGAGACTGAAGTGGGAGGAGTTAAGGAGTTGTTTGTTGGGAATAAGTAAAAATAAGCAGAGTAGGGTGCTTGTGACAACCCGACTTGACAATGTTGCATCACTAATGGCAGTTACTGATGAACACATCCATCGTCCTAGGCAATTAACTAAAGATGAGTGCTGGGCTATAATCAAGCAGAGAGGATTTGGAAACAATTCAGTTCCTGAAGAGTTAGAGGAAATTGGAAAACAGATTGCTGGTAAATGTAATGGTGTCCCACTAGTTGCAATTATTGTTGGAGCTACTTTGCAGAACAGAAGGAACAAGGAGGAGTGGGAGGCAATCACAAAGAATCATATGTGGAATTCATTCGAAAAGGAGAATGGGGTCTTGGAAATAATAAAATTCAGCTATGATCACTTGCCTATATTGGCTTTGAAGCAATGTTTTGTATTTTGTTCCATTTTTCCTAAGGATTTTGTCATGGAAAGGGAGATGCTAATTCAACTTTGGATGGCTCAAGGATTTCTTGAATCATCTGAAGAAAGTTATATGGCAGCAGAAGATATTGGTGAAAAGTATTTCAGATATTTGTTATCATATTCCCTATTTCAAGAGGAATGGAGGGATAATGTAACTAGGAGTGTTGAATCTTGTAAGATGCATGATTTGATTCATGATTTTGCCCAGTCAATTTCAAAACCTGAGACGCTGATTGTTGAGGAGTGGCCTGGAAGCAATATTTCTCATGATGTTAGGCATTTGAATGTAATTGGTGGGAGGGAAATGGTGCTACTGCCAGCAATTTTAGGAGATGTTACTAAAAAGTTGCGGACATTGTTTTTTGAGCATGGTTTTTCCAGTGGTGTGCAAGTGGATCTTAAAAGGTTACGGGTTCTTAGCCTTAATGATGCTTCTGATGCAAAACAATTGCCAAAATGCTTTGGCAACTCAAAGAGCTTGAGGTACTTGGACATATCAGGAACTGAAATAGAAGAACTACCCAAGTTCATCACCAAGCTGTACAATTTGCAGACATTTAGATTCATGGATTGCAGATCTCTTAAAATGCCCAAAGGAGGAATAGGAGATTTAATCAACTTGAGGCATATTTATTTCGATGATGAAGAGCGTATGCCTGCAAACCTTGGGAGACTAACCAACCTACAAACATTGCTATTGTTTTTTGTAGGTACAACAAAGGGACGTAAAATTGAAGAATTGGGAAGCTTAAGAGGACTCAAAGGAAGACTAGAGATCTGTAAGCTTGATCTTGTTCAAGGAAAATCAGAAGCCGAGAAAGCTAAATTACATGAGAAGGCAGTTGATGTGTTGGAATTATGTTGGAGCAAAGAAGGCAGTCGTGATACATTAGATGAAGATGTCTTGGAAGGCCTCAAGCCTCACTCAAATGTTATAATATTAAGTATTGCAGGCTATGGAGGTAGAAACTTGGCATCATGGATGTCAAAATGCAGTGAAGAATTGATGTTACTCAACAATTTGGTGGATCTGAAGATTAGTGATTGCAGCATGCTATACAGAATTTCAGGTATCAGTTGGTTTTCATCTCTTCAGCGGCTTTCTGTTGAGAGGTGTTATAAATTAACTAGCTTAGGTGATGGTGATGAAGCAGTGCTTACATCGATGTCCCTCAAAAAATTATCCATATATTGGTGTAATGAGTTAGAAAGATTTTTAGTTAATGGATTATCATCTCTGGAGGAACTCAACATTGCGCATTGCAATGTGATAAATGGCATAGGAGGTAGCCTATCAAGCTCCACATGTCTCAAACAATTATCTCTGCAGGAGTGTCCTGAATTGAAGTTTATTTCAAGTTTAGATGGACTTGTCTCTCTAAAAACAATAGTTATTAGAGATTGTGATGGATTAGAGTGTCTACCGACTGGGCTCTCATCCTGCACTGCTATGGAGGAATTGCTGATATGGGGTTGCTCCAATTTGGTCTCAATTCCAGAAGAATTGAAACAGTTACGGTCTCTTGTTGAGTTGGTTATTCAGAATTGTCCAAAATTAATGAGCTTCCCAGAGGAGATCTTGGACTTTGTCAGCTTGAAGAGATTAGAGCTTGGCCCTTTCTCAGAAGAGCTGGAGGAATTCCCAAATTTGTGTTCAACTTCCACTTCCACTCCCACTCCAACCTCCCTTGAAGTCTTGCATTTGGAAGGATGGGGGGAATCCCTAACTCTGCCATGTCAAATTCAATGCCTCACTGCTCTCAGGGACTTAACTATCAAAAGCTTCAATGGAGTGGAAGAAGCTTTATTGGGAAAACTTTCTTGTCTTAAAACACTTGCAATTAGGGATTGTACTCGGTTAAGGAGTCTATTAGGGGGGCTGTCATCTGTTGAGGAATTGGTGATAACACAGTGCCCTAGTCTGGTCTCTTTTCAAGTAGAGTTAAAGGAATTGCGTTCTCTAGAAATTGTAGGTTGTCCAAAATTGGTGGGCTTCCTAGAGAAGAGTCTCGACTGTTGTACTAGGTTGAAGAGATTAGAGATCGGCCCTTTCTCAGAAGAGTTGGAAGAATACCCAAGTCTGAGTTCCATCCACGCCTCCCTTGAAGAGTTGATTCTGTACGGATGGGAAAAACTAACTCACCTCCCACAAATTCAACACCTTGCTGCTCTAAAGGAGTTGAGGATATACAACTTCAGTGGAATGGAATCTTTGCCAGACTGGTTTAACAACTTGTCCTCCCTTCGACGACTTTATATTTGGAGCTGCCCAAAAAAGTTAAAGGAAAGATGCACCAAGGGAAGCGGTCTTGACTGGCACAAGATTTCTCACATTCCATACATCAAAATAGGCAGGGAGATCATCCAATCCCAACGCTGACTCAAAGAGGTTTATCTCTTTTTTTCTCACAACTGCACTTCTCGAATTATGTATTTCCCTGGACTGGAATTTTTTCCAGACTGGTTTAACAACTTGTCCTCCATTCAACCGCTTGATATTGGAGCATTGTGTTATGCTAAACTAAGACTCTTATCTTCTTTACAATTTTGATCATGCAGTGCTTTTTTTTGCTTTTGGGGGAGTTCAGTTTCAGCAGGGAAGTTCCTCAATTAATCTGCTGTTTCCTTGAAAACCAACCAATTAAGGAGAATTCCAGTTGCAGTGTAGCTTATGGACTTTCATCTTGCATCTTAACTTTTGGGCCAAATTGGAAAACTGTAACAGGTAATATACCGAACCAAATTGGTAATTGTTAGCTCCTAATTCTGCTATGATATACTTGGGTATTGACCAATTGTTTTGCATTTTTTGTACAGTGTTAACTCATCTTATTACATTGAGGAGTGTACAAGGACTAGCGAACTTTGCATCCTCTGAAATTGATTTGGCTTCTTTGCCCTTTCCAACTAATTTTGCTGGAGACTTGAAACATGGCAATGGATTGCTATATTTCAAGCTCTTTGAAATTTCATCTAATATTCCAAAGATTGCAGTAGGAGAGGAAGGAAAGTAGCAGTATTTTCCAAGCCAAAGACTATTATAGTATGCTTGCTAGATCTTTTATGGGTTTTAACTTTTAAGCATTTTGGTTTTGCATTTGACCATGTCTTATGATAAATGGGGAAAAAGACAACCTTATGCAGGATCATGCCAACTGTTCCTTGAGGGGCTTGGTTTTGATAAGTTTGGACTTGGGAGAATGTTCAATATGTCATTTCTTAATTACCCTGCTAATTATTTGAAAACCAATTAATTTTCAGCACAATCGATTCTGAGCTTAGACCATTGATGTTAAAATTCATTTTAAATGCATATGCCATTTCTATACTGCTACTTTTAAATTTTCATTTCCTAAGGCAGCTGTTTTATTATTGTTTTTTATCTTCTCTGGTATCAGCCGCAGCAGTGTGGGTTTGATTTCAGTATGTAGTCTCTTGTTTCAAATTATCACAATCCATGGTTCTTCAGAAGAGGGATCCCGATGTAGGTATGCCACCATAAAAAATAAAGGTAATTTGATTCTTGTTGGTTGAGCACCTCTTAAGAGTTTTTGATGTGTTCTTATGCAGCAGAGGATTGCATGCACAATACTCAATGCATTTTTATGGTTGCAGCCTTGCAGGCACCAAAACTATTTTGCACTTCGTATTCAAGCTTCTAAAGAACCTGACGTTGTTTGAGATTCTATCCTGGGGACTTTGTATTCAAGCTTCTGTTTCATTTATGACATTCCTTTTCTGGGCTTCTGCTTATAGTTATGAGATCGTGTCTGTACAATCATTTGTTTTAATTTTTGTGGGACAATACAAAACACTAAAGACAGTTAGGACTATTCCCCTACTTTCTAGTAAATTTGGCTGTTGTTATACCCGTGCTTGTCTGTCTGTGTGTATGGTATATCGGTATACTTTTAGGTTATTGGGCTTCAAACACATAAGAGACACTCATCCAATAAGCAAGTAAACGCAGAGCAATGGCTGGAAAGTAGCTTCAACAAGTGAAAGATGACCACTCTGGTATGCTTTCTATATCTTCTATGAGTCTTGTTGAGTATTATGGCATTGCATTTATAGCATATAGTATTTTAAGTTAAAAAGGTACTATGATAAAATTAACTCATATCCTTCAAAAATTTGGATCATACAGGGGGTTCTTGGGGATGGTCAATTTTACTTGCTGCGGCTATACTCAAACCAGGTTTGCTCAAATTAGCTCATGAGTACATCAAGGCATCTTTGATTTGTGACGTATTTTTTGATGGCTCAGCTTTATTGGGAAGCTAGAAAGCCTCAAACATAGCTTTGATCCCAAAGTAATTTATTTATTTTTTCTTAATTTCAACTATATTAAAGTTAAATATCAATTGAATGCACCTTGAGTAATTATTTTGCATTGTTCTTTGACTTTAAGTCTTAACAGGTTATCATCAAATGAGCAAACAATAGCTCGAGGAAAGGACAAAAGCAGCTGTAATCCATTGAACGATAATTCTGGTATGCTTGCTTTATCTTTTGTAAGTCTTAATTAGGCACCATGCCTACAATTTTGGGAAGACTCTTATGATATACCTAAGTTTGTTGCTTGCTGGAATCTGAATTAGTGAATTATACAAGTTCTTTTTGTAGGTGTTCAATTTTGGCTCTCAGCAGGAGGGATGTCCCAATATCTTGCTACTTGAATGGAAATTCACCGATTTAAACAAGAGTTGGGTAGTTTATGGATTTCCTTTTTGCAGCTAAGGCTGGCCCAAAATGCAAACCTTGAGATATCTATTCACACCAAGTAGTGTTCCTTCATGTAGGAAAACAATGACAGGTATATAATTGAATCCAATTGCTGCAAGTTAACATACGCTTTTCAAATTCTCATAATTATTTTGTTTTTGTAGATTTGATTTCTGCTGTCTGGTTGCTCATAAGTTTCCCATGATCACAATTGATGTTCCTTCAAAAGCATCGATATGGTACGCTGCAAGAAAGAAATGACTTGAGTTATTAGTTATGAGAATCAGAAAGCAGAAAGATGGCAATAAAGATTACTTGGTTGTTTTTGGGTTTATGGTTTTTAAGTAAACTCTATCTGCTCAGGGAATGTAGTGCCTAATGATTTCACCTTGGTAATGCAGGAGTTTTCACAGCTCGTTTGACAAATAAACGGGTCGATGGCAACAACTAGAGTACTTCTGCTAAGAAGAGACTACAGACAGAAGCATCTTTGTTCTTCGACATCAGTAATGCCACAGATTCACTGGCCACAACAAATGGGCATTACAGAGACATTATTTTGGTAGAAAGCACTAAAGCAGTCAGATGGGCATTGTAGATGGATTAGATATACTAACAAAACTGAGGCCTGTATTATATATGGATCTTGATCTCGTCTTCACATTTTGTCATACGACTTGTGCTATAAACAACGAAAGAAACATTCTCTTTATTTTAAAATAATAAATATTTTCTGTTTAAAATTTATTTTAAAACAATAATTTTTTATTTTTTAAAAATAATTTTTTATTTTAATTTCATAATTGTTTTTTTAATTTTAATTATTAATTTTATTAAAAAATTAAAATTTTTAAAAATAAAATAAATATATAAATTATTCTTAAATCTTTAATTATTAGATAAAAGCGAAAAAAAAAACGTTGAAAGAGTCGGAGTAGAAGATTGTACAGAAGTTAACGATCAAAAAATGGGAAGTTGTGCAGAAGTCGTCCGGGATTCACCACCTGTCAGAGGACTGAGGAAGGCATGTCAAGTGTTCATAAGCCTAGGGCCATTTGATTTTGGTGTACATACTACCCATGTACCACCCCCCCCTCCCCCAAAAAAAGAAAAAAAAAAAAAAGATAGAAAATTACAACAACAGTGATACCATATGGTTTGATCTGCTTTGCATAAAAGTTCAAGAAAGTGTCCCCTGCTATTCTATGATGTATTCTTTTTGTTGTGTTAAATTAATTTGATTTTTGTTGGTTAAGCATCTCTCAAAACTTTTTACTGTGTATTTTGCTTTTTTTTTTTTTTTTAAATGACATGTTAGAAATTATCTTTTTTCATCTTAATAAATTGTTACTGTCCGTCTGTTCCTCCCAAATTAAGAGTAATATTGGTATTTCAGGAGAAAAAGTAAATTTGTAAGTTATTTCTGATTAAAAACTGCTCCAAAATATTTTGTTCTATTATTTGGTCTTGACAATTATTGCAATTTAAGTTTACTTGCACGTTTTGAGTTTATGTTTTGAGTTTATGTTATGTAGAAGAATTCTATGACAGGAGGATTTCAGGAGGGAGTTCCTGCTGGATATTTGCTTACATATTTTTATGGCATGTGCTTCACTACTAAGTCAGTCAGCCTAAAAGACAACTTCAATCCCAAATTACATTTTTAGATGACTGCTCAATTACTCCACAATTCACATTCACTATACGGTAGCATCAATTCACTTTACACAGGGAGGGACATATGAGGCTGGATTCTTCTGCCAAGAGCGTTGTAGAGAAAAAGAGCACGTGCAACTTCTTCACTAATACATAACCATGGTATGCTTGCTAGGTCTTTTTAAAGTATTAAACAGCAGCGAAGTTAACAAGTATCTTCTTGTAGATTAGGTCGGAATTAGTATCATCTTGTAGATTAGGTCGGAAGTTACTTTCTTCAGGAAAGTTAATAGTCATACTAATGCACTTGGAATTTGCTCATCTTACGCATCAATAGGATGTACAAGGACACCCATGCTATGTTTCTGCTATTATAACATGACAATATTTGCTATATTCTAACTGTTTTGATGCATCAAAAGAGCAATAGAGGTGCTAATTACATCCTGCCATGTCGTATCTCAGTCCTGGTCATCAAGACCATCCAGACCAATCAAGCCTTCAAAGACCAGAACCAGTTTGCCATGGTATAAAAAGACATTGTTATTAAAGTAGGAGTAGGAGCCTTTTGCTGCAAGTCAACAAAAGCATTTGTAATTCTCATAATTATTTTGCTTTTGCAGATTTGTTTGTTGACATCAGTTATGCTGCAGACTCATAAGCCACAAAAAATACAAAGGAGTGCAGGGACGCAGATCAGTTTATTGCCATGACCTGTTGCTGTCTTAGTCATGAACACACTTTCTTATGGTCATTTCCGCAACAAACAGAAAATACTTGAGTTTTGGATATTGATTTATTGACTCTTAGAATGTATCTTGCCACAAAATTAAAATCTTTTGGGTAAGCGGTTGTTGTAACGTAATTTTAGATATCGAATCTGCAAAAAAACTATATTAAACCAATAAAAAAAGTTGTCACAATAAGAAATTAAATTAAAAGATTATTTCAAAAATCAAGAATAAAAATATTTAAATAAAAAAATGATAATTATAGAGGATTGAAAACAATATTATGATGAACAGGATTTTAAGATTCACTTAATTAATTTGTTTAACTGTTATAAATTTTAATTACTATTTATTATTCAATTGCATATTTTATATCCCAAACAAATAATCGGAAGATTTAACTTTGAAAATTAATAATAATAATTAATTTGTTTATTTTGAAAGAAATTAATTTCAATGAAAAACAAACTGATCTATCATTATGAGTTATCCGAGAATGACAATATATCTAATCGATAATATTACAGTAAATTATCAACCCGTAAAACAAATCTATTAATCAATTATATTTTAATAAATTACACATAAAAAGTACATGACTAATCTTATTAAAAGTTTAACTGTATTATGATATAATTTTCTAGTACTAAGAAAAAAGAAAATAAAAGTCTAAAAATTACCTCTCTAGATGCTAAACCTAATTTTAAAGGCTCCTATTTATATTGAGAATAAAATAAAAGTGTTTGATAATTAGAATAACAAGCCTGCCGAATTAATTTTCTTTTTTCATTCTTCCCACACAATTTATCAGACAAGGGGTTGGAACCTGCTACAGATGCGAAACCCTGATATTACTATTTTTGTGCAAACTGACCAGGGATTGGAACCTGACATAGGGTGCAGAACCCCTCGTGTTTCTGTTTTTTCCTTTTGCACTGGTCAGGGACTTCAAATTTGCTCTTAATAAAAAATGGAAAAAATCCCACTTGAGCCTTCAACTTCCAAATTTAATCCTTGGATCCTCATCTTTCTATCTCTTTATATTTAAGTCTTTCTCTTATAGTTCTCTCCATTTAATATCAAATATTTAATTATAAAAGATTTACGCAACATAAATAAAATGAACATTTATGAAATTATTTATAGAAAAATACAACTCTTAAACTTATAATTTTATAAATGTCAATAGTTAAACACATTTTAAATATATATTTTCATGCTTTCATCAAAATGCATGAAATTAAGAAGCTAATTATCATGCTTTCTAGATCCAATAAATTCTTGTTGCAACACTGGTATCATCGTTCACCTTCAGCAACACTTAATGAAGATTGATTTCCTAGTAAACAACGTTGAAGCTTTAAATAATGAAAGCTTCTTTTTATGCTTCTTTATGTTATGTTACGCATTAAGGGTCGCTCTAAAAAATCTGCAGTGGCATTATGTACATAAAAAATATTATAATT